ATAAATAAATAAATAAATAAATCTATACTTAGATCTAAGTTTTCTATATAAATAAAAGACTGTTAAATTTTTTCTTGATTCTTGTGTTAGTTTTAGTAAGTTTTCTTCTAGGAATTTGTAAATTTCATATACATTAAAAAATTAGTGGCTTAAGTAATTCATAACAGTCTCAGATTAAATTTTTAATAATACCTTTTTCATTCCAGATATTGGTAATTTGTGCCTTTTCTATTTATTGATAAGTTTTGTTAGGGATTAATAAACTTAATTAGTATTTTTAAAATATCAAGTTTTGGCTTTGGTTTTTAGAGGTTATATGATTTTTATTATTTCATTAGTACACAATTTAACTTTTATTATTTTCTTCTATTACCTTTAGTTTAATATTCTCTTCTTTTTTATCTTCTTGATCTGGATGCTGAAATAATTGATTTTCAGTCTTTATTTTTTTCTAGGAATTTCTCCCTAAGCATAACTTTAGATAATTTAACAAAGTTTTCATTTTGTACACTTATGAGCATTCAGTGAAAATATTTTTAACTTATTTTTAATTGATTGACTAAATAATACATATTTATTGTGTACAACATAATTTTTTGAAATATATATACATTCTAGAATGGCTAAAGCTAGCTAATTAACATATGCATTACCTCAAAAAGTTATCATTTTGAGGGTGAGAACATTTAGACTCTATCCTTTTAACATTTTTCAAGAACATAGTGTCTTGTTTTTAAATATATGGATCATGTTGTACAGTAGGTTTTATGAATCTATTCCTCCTTTCTAACAGAAATTTTGTATCCTTTAATACAAAGCATGGCCATGCACAGAGGCAAAATCACTCTGGAGTCTGAAGTGTTGATGACATGAATGCCTTGGGTATAGATGCCCCACTGCTGCATTGATAACTCTGTGTGGGGCACAGATGCTTGTGAAGCAGCTGAGAAGCTGGGGGCCAAAGTCCATGCATGTGCAGAGATATAGTGGCTCTAGGGTCCAGAGTGTAGGTTTGCTCAAAGCTACGGTGGCTCTGGACTCTGGGCCTCAGGCTGGTCAATAATGGAGTGGAGTTGCTGCATGCAGTGTGTATGCACACACAGCAGCTGGGGCTCTAAGGTGTGGGGTGTGGCTAACCTATAACAGTAGTGGCTCCTGTGTTTGAGGCAGGTGCAAAGTTGGAAAGAATGGTGGCTTTGGCCATGGGGCAACAAAACAGTTGCCCCTTCTGGAAGCATTGGTGCAGCAGTGTTTCATTTTCTGGGGTCTCCATGGTGGGGATGGCTGTTGATTATCTTGGTAGTGAAAGATGGCGGTGTTCTCTGTACAGCAGGTTGCTGGGAACAATGGTGGCACTCATAACACGGTTGATAATGCCGGAACCTGCTTTTCTTTGTTCCTAGACATCTCTAGACATCTCAGGTATATACAAATCTCCAGCAGTCTTTTCTATGTGGTTATTCCTCTCCCACCTTTTTTGTTTCACTATGTTGCTACAGGTTTTTAAATGGCCCCTTGAGTCCTACTAAGGCTATTATCATTCATGGATAACTTTTGGTTGATTTTTTTTGCGTGAGGGGAAGAGGATTGTATCTTCTATTCTGCCATCTTGTTTATGTGTCACTCTCTTTATTTTGTTTGTCAAGATTTCTTTGGTGGAGGATGCTGAAACAGAAATTGACAAGGAAGAAGTCTAGTTATGAAGAAAACATTCTGGCTTCTTTTAGATTCTGTTAACTTTCTTGAAATTTGGGTCCTTTACCACATATATTTCATTTTGTTTGGAATTGATCTTTTCCATACTGGTTCTTTGTCGTTTTTAAACTTGGCTGAAATCTTAATTTTCCAGAGAAAACATTCTGACCAAACAATATAAAGTAGATTTATTTTTTATCTCATTTTTATGTATAGTTATATGCTTATTCCATATGTACATATGTATTTATATATGTATATATGCATATTTATGCATGTTTCTTAGGGAGTTTATTTGCTTACTGTCTATCTTCTCCATTAGATTTAAACACCATGGGCACAAGAATGATGTTTATTTTGCATGGGCCTATGTTCTTAAGTCTCATCACTATGGCTAAAATCCACTTGCAATAAATAAACAGTTGATGAATTAATATTTCTTCTCAATGGTTCAAACATTTAAGGCGAATTAAAAGAAACACTAATCCCTCAAGTCCACATCCCTTATTTAATGATAAAATGTGTGTCTCTGTCTCTTAGTATTTATGTCAAATCACAGTCTTGAAGGACATGCTGTGGCTTAATTTGTGCATTACCCAAGAGAATAACTGAAAGTAACATAAATACACTCATGATCTCCCACAACAAGCAGAGCTGGATCCCCACAGATTCTTTAATCACCTGATTTCCAGGTATGTGAGATAAAGTGTTTTGTAGCCCTCATAGAGTATGTGTCCCCTGAGAGCTCCGTGACCATATAATTACCTCCTGGTTCCCACTTTTCAACTGATCAAGTACCCATATGATTCCATTTGGCTTCATATTAGAAGGAGCAGCCCCAGAACCAGAGTCACTTTGACCATTTATTTATTCATCTGATTGTCATAGTCATCTAGTAGTAACTATGACTTTCTCCAAAACTGATATATAGCAAAGAGCCTGCAACAATGTTTATAAAAAACCCCAGTAATAATTATGTTAATTGAGGTTATGATTATCATCTCTTACTGAGTATAAGAAATTATAGGTTTCCTATTCTTTTCTTACCATAGCAGCAGTTTTCAGGCTGGATGTTGTTGGGGCTATCTTTTATTATTTCCTTTTTTATAGATTCAGCTATTGATATACAAATGAGTTAAGAGTCTTATGTACAAAGGAGGAGCAGTAAATACAGGAGTAGAGCTCTTGTTAGCTGATTCCAAAGCCAATAGCATTTTTCTTTCAATTTCCCCCTGCCTCTAAAGAACTTTAAGCCTTTTGGCCAAACACTAAAGAGAAATCTTCAAAAAGTTGTTTTCCTTCTTTAAAGAACTTAATTTCTGATGTGACATTCACTTATATATGAAAGTACTGGACCCGAATTTTGTGTTTCTCAGGGAGAAGGGTAAGTCTCTGGATCAAATCTATTGTCTGCACAAAGTTGCAGGGGCAGAGGTAGCTAGAAAAATGCATCAAGGTACCCATTTCTCCTTTGATTTAATCAGAGATTTGGCTCTAAATTTTGAATATTTCTTTTATTCATATTCAACATATATAGCCACATCCAGAGGCTATATATGTTGAATATTCCTCATCTAAAATATTTGGGAATGTGTTTTGGATTTTGGATTTTTTTGAATTTTGGAGTATTTGCATGTTTATAATGAGATATATTGGGGATAAAACCCAAATTTAAACACAAAATTCATTTGTGTTTTATATACATATTATATCCATAGCCTAAGTAATTTTATGTAATATTTTAAATAATTTTGGTGCATGAAACAAAGTTTGTGCTACATACTTACGTGTGGAATTTTCCATTTGTAGCATCATGTTGGTGCTCAAATAGTTTTGGATTTGGAAGCATTTTAGACTTTGGATTTTTGGATTAGGGATTCTCAACTTGTATTTCTAATGAGTTTCTATTAGAATATGTATACTTATCATGTGACATAAAGAAAAAGCACAAGAAGGCCTCGAGTCCCTGCTTTACAAAGAATAAGATTATATTACTTTGAACAAGTTATTTAAACTATTTATTTCTCAATTTTCTTTTTCAGGAAATATGATAATATTAGTTCTCCTAATTCTAGAGTTGTTGAGATAATCAAATGGAATGTCAACATAAAATTTTACTGTAATCTGGAAGCCCATACTAATATTTTTTTAAAAAAAAGAAAGAAGGAATGGTGATTAATAAATGAGGAAGAAATCAGGCTTAGAAGCCAGTTATAAAATGCACTGAAATAGAGATGTGCAAAATTACATAAGGCACAACTAACTAGTGGAATGAGGAGACCTAATTTCATGTTCTAATTCTGCCACTAAAAACATCTGGTCAATGGACACAATTTATTAACTATATTATGGACTGACTGATGGTCTGCAGTGTAGATGTGATTAACATCTATCACACAGTTCTGAGCAAATGAGAAAACACTTCTCTCTCCTTGGGAATGGAGAATAAGAATATTCTGAACTTAAACATGATATTTAACAATTTAGATATCTATCTGGTCAGGGAATGTATCTCGTGCATTAGTGTAAATCTGGCAATTAGCACGCAACATGGTGCTCCATTCGAAATTAGTGCTTGTAGAGAGAATGAGTAAATGAACACATCCAGAAATTTATGTTGATTGATCAATTGGTTGGTATCACTGAATAGTCATGTTCCTTTTTAACTTTTTGAAGATTTTTTACGGGTTGGAAGAGGTTATAAACATTTGTGGATGCAGTTATTATCATTTAACTGAGACCTAGAAATGTAGGTTATTTGCATGAAGCCAAGAAAACTGGTAAGTATATTTGATTCCTAATTTCATGCTATTCCATTCTTCACATTGACTTACAATGATATATTTAATTACTCCATCAGGCAGTCAGTTCAATTAAATAAATTGCTATCTTGTGCCCAGTTTAGATTGAATGTAAAAGATTTAAAGGAATTTTTCTTTGTGATAAAGAGTTAAGGCTTGAATTCAAAGTGATTTGGTTTATATTTTGCCTGTTCCAATTAATTAGTCTTACGATCTTGTATGAATCTTTCCTTTTCTGTACCTTAGTTCAGTAATCTATGAAATTAGGAGTTTGGGATGGATTATCTCTAAAATCATTTTATTAAGAATGCTCTATGAATTATTGTAATTTAAAATTGCATTTTGTTGTCATGGGCATGTTTTAGATCCAGGACTGCTGGAAACAAGTAATTAAAATACTGGAATAAAGCACAAAATGGGCATACTGACTGATCTCAGTAGTCCTCCCTCCATTTATGATTCTGATTCTGTCTTCATTTCTACAGGGCTGCTACATAATTCCCAATGGAGAACAACACAGAGGTGACTGAATTCATTCTTGTGGGATTAACTGATTCATTCTTGTGGGATTGACTGAATTCATTCTTGTGGGATTAACTGATGACCCAGAACAGCAGATCCCACTCTTCATAGTCTTCCTTTTCGTCTACCTCATCACTCTGGTTGGGAATCTGGGGATGATGGAATTAATTCTATTGGACTCCTGTCTCTATACCCCCATGTACTTTTTCCTCAGTAACCTCTCCCTGGTGGACTTTGGTTATTCCTCAGCTGTCACTCCCAAGGTGATGGTGGGGTTCCTCACAGGAGACAAATTCATATTATACAATGCTTGTGCCACACAATTCTTCTTCTTTGTAGCCTTTATCATTGTAGAAAATTCCCTCCTGGCATCAATGGCTATGCAGCAGTGTGTAAACCCCTGCATTACACCACCACCATGACAACAAATGTATGTGCTTGCCTGGCCATAGGCTCCTATGTCTGTGGTTTCCTGAATGCATCCATTCATACTGGGAATAGTTTCAGGCTCTCCTGCAGATCCAATGTAGTTGAACACTTTTTCTGTGATGTTCCTCCTCTCTTGACTGTCTCATGTTCAGATAACTACATCAGTGAGATGGTTATTTTTTTTGTGGTGGGATTCAATGACTTCTTTTCTATCCTGGTAATCTTGATCTCCTACTTATTTATATTTATCACTATCCTGAAGATGCGCTCATCTGAAGGACACCAGAAGGCCTTTTCCTCCTGTGCTTTCCATCTTACTGCAGTTTCCATCTTTTATGGGACAGGCATCTTTATGTACTTACGACCTAGCTCCAGCCATTTCATGGGCATGGACAAAATGGCATCTGTGTTCTATGCCATAGTCATTCCCATGTTGAATCCACTGGTCTACAGCCTGAGGAACAAAGAGGTTAAGAGTGCCTTTAAAAAGACTGTAGGGAAGGCAAAGGCCTCTATATGATTCATATTTTAATTATAAAGAATTCAAAATAAGATAATTTCCTCCACCTCATATTAATCTTTGTCTACTAAGTCCAATATTTGGGTTTCCTCATGGACAGTTTCTATTGACTGTTTTCTTAAACATATGAATTGGCCATACTTTCCTCATTCTTTAAGTGACACTTTTTTGTTAAAATCTGGATATTTTAAATAATAAAAATATAGCGCATTCTAAAAAGCATCTCTCTCCTCCCATCTAGGCTTTGTTTTCGTTGGTGGTACTTTTGTTTGTTTAGTGATTTTCCTGAGTTACTTGTGTTAATTCTGCATTTCTTGTTGTGTGTGGCCACTGAAATTTCTACTCAGTTAGCGGTCAACTAACAATTGGACAGAGTTTTTTAAGTGCTTTAAATGGTTAATTCTCTGAAGCCTTATGCATGAACTTTGCACGTGTGTGCTGGAGTATGTTTTCAGTGCTCCAGCAGTTTAAATTCTGCCTTTAATCTTCATGTCCTTTTTGTGCAGAGCCTCAAGGTCAGCCACAAATGAAACATTAGGTCCTCTCAGGTCTTTCCTGTGAATACATAGGGCCTTGTGCATATGCATGACTTTTGTAATCCCCAGGAATATATGGGAGCTTTTCAAAGCCCTCTATGGATTTCTAATGCCCTCATCGATTTTTTTAAGAGTTTGATTAGATTATTGTATGCTCCAACTGATATTTACATTTTCAGGCAATTGCAATGTTAAACAATTGCTGCTCAATGCTTTGACAAACACTCTAGGAATCAAACTTTCTCACTGAGTGAACTGAGTCTGGTGAAATAGAGAAAAAATTGTGAATGGGGTTTTCCCAGGAAGCTGCCAAATAGATGAAACAGTGACAATTCTCTGGGAAGCAGGCCCATTAGCAATCTCCAACACATTTTGTTTACTTCAATGGTTGTTAGACCACTGTTTTTTTCAGCTACCATAGTTCCATGTGTGCTGGTGTTCAAGGTTACTGCAAAGCTGGTGGATAAAGCAAGCTAACGTACCACAAAACTCACTGTTGACCCTGAGATTCAGTCATTGTTTTTGAATGAATACTCCTTGAATTGTTGCATGTCCTTGGTTAGTTTCTAGAGTTTCAAAACACCGTTTTACCTGTGTTATAATTGCTTTTATGGAAGAGTAAATTTTTGGAGGTCCTTGCTGTGCCATTCTGGAAATGTTTATTCTATCCTTTAAATTTTACTTTATTTTATTTTATTTTTTTTGATACAGAGTCTTGCTCTGTTGCCCAGGGGAAAGTGCTGTGGCACCATCTCAGCTCACTGCAATCTTTACCTCCTGGCTTCAAGCTATTCTCATGCCTCAGCTGCCTGAGTAGCAGGAATTACAGGCGCACACCACTGTGCCTGGCTAACTTTTTGTATAATATTTTTAGTAGAGACAGGGTTTCACCACATTGGCCAGGTTGGTCTTGAATTCCTGGCCTCAAGTGATCTGCCTGCCTTGGCCTCCCAAAGTGCTAGGATTACAGGTGTGAGCCAGCACGCCTGGCCTTATTCTATCCTTTTAAATTTAAGCTTCCTCTATTATAATCCTCTCTGAGAAAACTGTTTTATTTTTTTTTCATAATATATAATTTATAATTATATATTTATCTGTGAGTTTAAGTTTTTAATGTCTCCCCATTAGACCAAAGTCTATTTATCAAGGTACTTTTTTGTTTTGCTCTGTATACTATGGATTTAACAAAAAGGCTATCACCTATACGTGTCACATTCAAATTGCTGAAAACCAAATATAAGAAGAAAATTATAAATACATTCAGAGGAAAAAAGACACATTACATACAGAGGAACAAAAACAAGATTCACTGCAGATTTCTCATAAGAAGTAGTGCATGCCAGAAAACATCTGTCAAATGCTGAAATAATAAAGCATTCGCTTTATTATTCGCTGTTAAACCAAGTGAATGTATTCAAAAATAAAAGAGAAATAAAGACATTTTTCAGACACACGTGCTGCAAGTTCATTGTCAGCAGCCCTTCACTGCAAGAAATATTGAAGGAATTTCTTCAGACATAAGAAATATGATGCCAATCAGTAATTTACATTTGTCGTATGAAGAGCACTGAAAATGAGTTAAATGAAGATAGATAGACATAAGACCTACTCTTTTTGTATTTTTAATTGTTTAAAAGATGACTGTCTAAATAATAAATAGTAGGAATATACTCTATATTTATGTATAGAATACATACAAGGAAAATGTATAATAATAATATAAAGTATTAGAGTGCATAATTGGCAGCATATGTTTGCAACATCCTTAAACAACTCATAAAATGGCACAGTATTATAAAGAAGCATACTTTCATGAATTTCAGACATATAATGTAAACTCTAGGGCAATAACTAAAACAATTTTGAAGAGAGGTATTTAATAATAAATCAATAGTGGAGATAAAATGGAACCATAAAGATAATAAATAGTTTAAAAAGGAAAAGAAGACAAAAGAAACAAAGAAAAGATGGAAAAAACAGAAAAAACCCTAGGAAGATTGTAGGGGTTTTTTTGTTTTGTTTGCTTGTTTTGTTTTTGTTTTTTGAGACAGAGCCTTACTCTGTCACCCAGGCTGGAGTGCAGTGGTGCCAGCTCAGTTCATGGTAACCTTCACCTCCCGAGTTCAAGAGATTCTCCTGCCTCAGCCTCCCAAGTAGCTGGGATTACAGGTGTGTACCACCATGCCTGGTTAATTTTTGCGTTTTTAGTAGAGACGGGGTTTCACCATGGTGGTCAGGCTGGTCTTGAACTCCTGGCCTCAAGTGATTCACCTGCCTTGGCCTCCCAAAGTGCTGGGATTACAGGTGTGAACCACCCATGCCTGGTCTGATGGTAGATTTTAATTCATTGTGTCAATGAGTACATTAAATACAGTGTAAACTTAACAAATTGAAAAAGAACGTTAGATTTTAAAAAAGGAAAAAAAATGACCCACTGCATGCCGTCTACAAAAAATTTACTTTAAATATGAAGGCATAAAATTAGTGTACTTGAAATCAGCCACTGGTTTACTTGAGCTTGTTTTTTTGCCATTTTCCAGTATAATAACCTAGTAGTATGAATTGGTATTTAATAAGAAAGCCTGAGAACTTAGCCAAATATGCTCCTCTTTCATGGCTTTTCTTTTTATTTTCTTTCCCAGTGAATTGAGTTGGAATTCCTGTACTGAACATAGTTGATAAAGCATCATGGCCAGCGCATAAGTAAGTCCAGATAATGTGAGTAAGCAGAGACAAGCAAGGATGTCTATTTTCCCCCATATTTAAGACAAGTTTGCTGGCAGCTAAGCTGTGAGCATGGTAAGCAGATTTTCAAAAAGAACTATTCTCATTTATATAGCATCCTTGTACAGTTGCACTGTTCTTTGTGTTTTACATATCGTAACTCATTTGATCCTGACAACTCCATGGCAAGGTAGGATTGTTGTTGTTATCATTTTATTAATGAGGAAAATGTGGCTTAATGACATTAAGACATTTGCCCATGTTCCAGGACAATTTAGGCAGAACCAGGATTTGAATTCATGTCATCCTGAAAACCAGTTTTTCATTTGTCTCTTTGTTTCTGTTTTTTGTTTGTTTGTTTATTTTTTTTGAGATTGGGTCCTGCTCTGTTGCTTAGGTTGGACTGCAGTTCACTGCAGCCTATGATTCCCAGGTTCAAGCCATTCTCCTGCCTCAGCCTCCCGAGTAGCTGGGACTACAGGCAGGTGCCACACGCCTGGCTAATTTTTGTATTTTTAGTAGAGACAGGGTTTCACCATGTTGGCCAGGCTGGTCTTGAACTCCTGACCTCAAGTGATCTGTCCACCTCAGCCTCCCAAAGTGCTAGGATTACAGGCATGAGCCACTGTGCCCAGCTGAACACTGTTATATGGCTTTCCACCAGATTTCACATAGTAGGAAACTATAAAACAGTTCTTAAACAATGTTACACAGTTTTCCACCAAGTTTCATGTAGCAGGAAACTCTAAAAATTGGAAGAGTTGGGGTAAAGGACTTCCAGAAAAAAAATGTTATATGTCTACTTCAGGTGCCCTTGTTATAGACTATCTCTGCCTAAAAATACATCTGGAAAGTTTTTGATGAGTACTGGGGTTGTTCAACTTTATATCTCAGTGGAAAAATTCAGTACACTACAGATAAAAGTGTTTCCCAATTTGCTTTGTCAGCTTAAACAGTGTACATTTTAATTCTCTTCTGTTTTATTTTTAGCTAGTTAATTATTTAAAACAACTCCAACCTCATAATTATGTGGCAAGATATTTGGAATTAACTCGTCATGGCTTCCAGTGCCTCTAAGGGATATATTATGTATTTTGGAGATAATGAACACTCTTAGAAATGAATGGAGGCTCTTTCACAGAAAGAGGATGACTTTATAATTTCTTTTTTTATAGCTAGTGTGTTTATTGACAGTTTAGTATGTACCAGAATCTGTCTTAAACACCTTATTAATTTACATGCTCCTACCAACCATATGAATTAAGCATTACCATCATCTTCATTTTATTTTTATTTGTATGAATAAAAGTAGAATTCTGTTGTATAGATATATTGTGTAGTGTTGAAGCCTGGGCTTTTGGAGTAACCATCACTTGAATAATGCAGTTGTATTTATTAAGACATTTTTCATTTGTCAACCCTCTCTCCTCTCCTCGCTCCCACCTTCCTACCCTTCTGAGTCTGCAATGTCTATTATTTCACACTGTATGTTCATGTGTACACATTATTTCACTTCCTCTTATAAGTAAGAACATGTGGTATTTGACTTTCTGCATTATTTCCCTAAAGACAACAGCCTCAAGTTCCATCTGTGCTGTTGCAAAAGACATGATTTTACTCTTTTTTATGGTTGAGTGGTATTCCATGGTGTGTCTATATATATATGTGTGTGTTTATATGTGTGTGTGTGTATATATATATATATGTGTGTGTGTGTGTGATATATGTATCACATTTTCTTTATCCCATCCTCTACTGATGGACACTTAGGTTGAGTCCATATCTTGGTTATTGTGAATAGTGCTGTGATAAAAATACAAGTGCAGGTTTATTTTTTATATAAAGATTTTTTTTTCCTTTGGGTAGATAGCCAGTAGTGGGATTGTGGGATTGAATGGTAGTTCTATTTTTAGTTATTTGAGAAATCTCTGCATCGTTTTCCATAGTGCCTGTACTAATTTATATTCCCACCAACAGTGTATAAGTGTTCTTTTTTCTCTGCAGCCTCACCCGAATCTGTTATTTTTTGACTTTTTAAACAATAGCAATTCTGCCTGGTATAAAATGATATCTCATTGTGATTTTAATTTGCATTTCTATGATGATTAGCGATGTTGAATATTTTTCATGTGCTTGTGGGCGATTTCTATGTCTTCTTTTGAAAAGTATCTCTTCATGTCCTTTGTCCACTTTTTAATGCTTTTTCTTACTGTTCTTGTTATTGATTAGTTGTTTGAGTCCTTTATGGTTTCTAGATTAAAATTAGTCCCTTCTTGGATGCAGAGTCTGAAAATATCTTCTCTCATTGTGCAGGTTTTCTATTCATTCTATTCAGCTGTGCAGAAGCTTTTCAGTTTAATCAAGTCATATTTGTCTATTTTTATTTTAGTTGCCTGTGCTTTTGAGGTTTTCATGAATCCTTTGCCTAGCCCAATGTCTAGAAGAGTTTTCCCTAGGCTTTATTCTAGTATTTCTGCAATTTCAGGTCTTACAGTTAAGTCTTTAATCCAACTTGAGTTGATTTTTGTATATGGTGAGAGATAGGAGTCAGTTTCATTCTTCTGCAAAGGAAAATTCTATTTTCCCAGCATTTACTGAAAAGTGTATCCTTTCTCAAATGCATGTTTTGTCAGCGTTGTCAAAGATCAGTTGGCTGTAGGTGTGTAGCTTTATTTTTTGGTCCTATATTCTGTTCTATTCATCTATGTGTCTATTAAAAACCAGTATCATGCTGTTTTGGTTTCTACAGCCTTACAGTATAACTTCAAGTCAGATAATGTGATGAAACCAGCTTTGTTCTTTTAGCTTAGCATTATTTTGACTACTTGAGCTCCTTTTTTTATTCCATATGAATCTTATGACTATATTTTTCTAACTCGGTGAAAAATAACATTAGTATTTTGGTAGAAAATGCATTGAATCTCTAGATTCCTTTGGACAGTATGGTCATTTTTGTGATATTGATTCTTCCAATTCAGGAGCTTGGAATGTTTTTCCATTTGTTTGTGTCATCTATGATTTCTTTCATCAATGTTTTGTAGCTTACATTGTAGAGGTGTTTTACCTCTTTGTTTAAATATATTTCTAGGTATTCCTTTGCACATAACTATAAATTGATTGATGTCTTGATGTGATTATCAGCTCAATTCAAGTGGAGAATCAAGCTTTTAAATGAATTAAGTAAAGTTTAAGGTTATATAATCAACATACAAAATTCAGTAGCATTTCTATACAAATGCTACTCATTTTGAAATGCTACTGAATTTTATATGTTGATTATATAGAAATGCTATGAATTTTGTACGTTGATTATATAACCCTAAATTTTCTTAATTAATTTATCAGATCTAAGAATTATTTGGAGAAGTCTGTGAGATTTTTTACACATAAATCATATCATCAGCAAACAGAGGTAATTTGACTTTCTCTTTTCTAGTTTGAATGCATTTAATATTTGTTCTTGCTTGATTGCTCTGGCTATGACTTCCACGGTTATGTTTAATTGGAGTGATGAAAATAGTCATCCTTGTCTTGTTCCAATTCTCAGGGAGAATGATTTCAAGTTTTCTCCATTCAGTATGCTGTTGGCTATGTGTTTTTCATGTATAGCTTTTATTATTTTGAGGTATGTTCCTTCTATGTCCAATTTTTTGAAAGTTCTTATCATAAAAGGATGCTGAATTTTATCAAATGCCTTTTCTGTCTTTATTTATAGGATCATATGGCTTTTGTTTTTAAATTCTGCTTATGTAATTAATCACATCTACTGATTTGTGTATGTTGAACCATCCTTGCATCCCTGAATAAAACCTATTTGATTGTGGTATATTATCTTTTTGATATGCTGTTATACATATACCTCAATATATGTGCAAAATCTTCACATAGAAAGTCCTTAACAAAATGCTAGCAAATCATGTATATTTTTGAGGATTTTTGCATCTATGTTTATCAGAGATTGGTCTGTAGTATTCCATTTGTATGTCCTTGCCAGCTTTGGTATCAGACTCATACCAGCTTTGGAGAATGAGTTAGGGAAGATTCTCTTCTCTCTGATTTTTCAGATAGTTTCAAAAGATTGCTATTATTTCTTTTTACCTTTGGTAGAATTCAGTTGTGAATTTATCCAGTCCTGAGCTTTTTTGTTGGTGTTGTTGGGAAGTTTTTTATTACTGATTTAATCACTCATTATTGCTCTGTTCAAGATTTTTCTCTCCCATTCAATCTTAGGAGCTTATTTGTTTCCAGGAATTTATTCATGTTCTCTAGGTTTTCTAGTTTGTGAATGCATAGTTGTTCATAGCAGCCTCTGATGATCTTTTGTATTTCTGTGGTATTAGCTATAATGTATTCTTTTTTATTTTGGCTTACGTTTATATGGATCTCTTCTCATGTTTTTCTTAGGTAGTTTAGCTAGTGGTTTGTCTATTTTATTTGTTTTTGTCCCAATTTCATTTAGTTCTACCCTGATCTCTGTTATTTGTTTTCTTCTGGTAGCTTTGGGTTTTGTTTGTTCTTGTTTTACTAGTTCCTTGAGGTACAATGTTATGTTGTTAATTTGTGATCTTTCTATTTTTTGATGTAGGCATTTAATACTATAAACTACTCTCTTAGCACTGCTTTTACTGTTTTCAATATGTTTTGGTATGTTTTGTTTCCATTTTTATTTATTTCAAAAATTTTTAATTTATGACTTAATTTGGTAAACAACCTAAATATTGTTTAGGAATATATAGCTTACTTCCCAGGTATTTGTACAGTTTCCAGAGTTCCTCTTGGTATTGATTTCTGGTTTTATTTGGCTATGCTCTGAGAAGATAATTGGTGTAATTTCAACTTTTAAAAATATATTGAGACTTGTTTTGTGACATATCTTGGAGAATGTACCATGTGCCCTTGAAAACACTATATTCTACTTTTGTTTGTTAGACTGATCTGTAAATGTTTGTGACGTCCATTTGGTCAAAAATTTAAGTCCAATGTTTCTTTATTAATTTTATGTTTTGATAACCTGTCTAGTGCTGTCAATGGGGTGTTAAGTCCCCCATTATTATTGCATTTCTGTATGTTTCTTTCTGTTTTTGTTATTATACTTTAAGTTCTAGGGTACACGTGTACAATGTGCAGATTTGTTACGTACGTATACATGTGCCAGGTTGGTGAGCTGCACCCATTAACTCGTCATTTACATTAGGTGTATCTCCTAATGCTATCCTTCCTCCCTCCCCCTACCCTACTACAGGCCCCGGTGTGTGGTGTTCCCCAACCTGTGTCCAAGTATTCAAATTGTTCAATTCCCACCTGTGAGAACATGTGGTGTTTGGTTTTCTGTCCTTGCAATAGTTTGCTCAGAAT